CCCACCTGCCCATGTGAGTCGACTTTTTCAATCATCCTCGTCGGAAGAGGGATTTAGAGGGTCTGGCCCCTTCAATTTTTGCAGTCCTACGAGCCTCCTTATAATCAGGATACTTTGAGGTTTACATGGATGGGTCCCACAAAGATCAGCCTCAATCCACATACTGTATGGTATGGCTGTAAGTATGCCATAAAGTATGGCAGCAAGTATGCCATAAAGTATGGCAGCAAGTATGCCATAAAGTATGGCAGCAAGTATGCCATAAAGTATGGCAGCATACTTTGCACCTTTCTCCTTTTGTCAGACGTGGAAGTTCTGCTCATTCGTGCCTGGCCGGAGAACTGTTTACAATTTTACTCGTCTTACGACTCCTACGACAAGTTTCAGGGCTCTCTGGTCGTTTTCTACGTGGACTCAGTTACAGCCCTACATCTGATATCATCTCGGCGTCCACGAGTCCAGCGTCATACTGTGTCACAGGTCCGTGGAGAACTGCTGTCATACTCTGGTACTGCGGGTTGGTCCATCTGTCTCCAGTGGGTTCCGTCACATGTCGGTATTAATATCAATGAGGTGGCCGACGCAGCAGCAGGGATGGCGCATGCTCTCCAGGACTCTACACATGTGCCTCTGGACTTTTCCTAAATTCTCCCGCAACTTTCGGCGGCTTGATTTGTGAGCTGGAAAGCAGTGATGGCGCCAGCACTCAGGTGCTCCTCTCTGGCGGGTCTCCGGGAGGGCTCCTCCCCGCGTCCATGAACTCATCATTCTCGACTCCTCGACACTGCCATTACTCGTCTCCGGATTGGGCACACCTGCCTGGCCGCACATCTCCATCGTCTACGACTGGCAGAGTCCCCATACTGCCGGTGGTGTCCGACCCAGGAGGACACAGTGGAACATCTTCTTCACTGCCCTCGATTTCATAGCGCTCGCGTCGGACTACAGAGTGCCGTTCGTAGGCTGAATATTCCGCGCCTCACAGTTCCCGTTCTCCTTGACGGGGCAGGTGCGAGAGACGAAGACGTCCGTCATGACATCCTTCGCTATACCTTCCGCTTCATCCGTCATGTCCGCGGCCTGAAGAGACTGTAAAGTATGTGGCCTGAGGAGATTGTAGGGTCTCTGGCCTGAAGAGATTGTAGGGACCCATCCCTCTTTGGTATTTCCCGGTATCGGGTAGGGGACCCCATCCCTCTTTGGTATTTCCCGGTATCGGGCAGGGGACCCCATCCGTCTTTGGTATTTCCCGGTATCGGGCAGGGGACCCCATCCGTCTTTGGTATTTCCCGGTATCGGGCAGGGGACCCCATCCGTCTTTGGTATTTCCCGGTATTGGGCAGCCGGGACGCATCCGATCCCTTGATCGTCGTCGCCCCTAAATCAATAACAGCAACAAAAACCACTACCACCCACTACATGGGTTAAGCTCTCTACTACCACCCACTACATGGGTTAAGCTCTCTACTACCACCCACTACATGGGTTAAGCTCTCTACTACCACCCACTACATGGGTTAAGCTCCCTACTACCACCCACTACATGGGTTAAGCTCCCTACTACCACCCACTACATGGGTTAAGCTCTCTACTACCACCCACTACATGGGTTAAGCTCTCTACTACCACCCACTACATGGGTTAAGCTCTCTACTACCACCCACTACATGGGTTAAGCTCTCTACTACCACCCACTACATGGGTTAAGCTCTCTACTACCACCCACTACATGGGTTAAGCTCTCTACTACCACCCACTACATGGGTTAAGCTCTCTACTACCACCCACTACATGGGTTAAGCTCTCTACTACCACCCACTACATGGGTTAAGCTCTCTACTACCACCCACTACATGGGTTAAGCTCTCTACTACCACCCACTACATGGGTTAAGCTCCCTACTACCACCCACTACATGGGTTAAGCTCTCTACTACCACCCACTACATGGGTTAAGCTCTCTACTACCACCCACTACATGGGTTAAGCTCTCTACTACCACCCACTACATGGGTTAAGCTCTCTACTACCACCCACTACATGGGTTAAGCTCTCTACTACCACCCACTACATGGGTTAAGCTCTCTACTACCACCCACTACATGGGTTAAGCTCTCTACTACCACCCACTACATGGGTTAAGCTCTCTACTACCACCAACTACATGGGTTAAGCTCTCTACTACCACCAACTACATGGGTTAAGCTCTCTACTACCACCAACTACATGGGTTAAGCTCTCTACTACCACCAACTACATGGGTTAAGCTCTCTACTACCACCCACTACATGGGTTAAGCTCTCTACTACCACCCACTACATGGGTTAAGCTCTCTACTACCACCAACTACATGGGTTAAGCTCTCAACTACCACCCACTACATGGGTTAAGCTCTCTACTACCACCCACTACATGGGTTAAGCTCTCTACTACCACCCACTACATGGGTTAAGCTCTCTACTACCACCCACTACATGGGTTAAGCTCTCTACTACCACCCACTACATGGGTTAAGCTCTCTACTACCACCCACTACATGGGTTAAGCTCTCTACTACCACCCACTACATGGGTTAAGCTCTCTACTACCACCCACTACATGGGTTAAGCTCTCTACTACCACCAACTACATGGGTTAAGCTCTCTACTACCACCAACTACATGGGTTAAGCTCTCTACTACCACCAACTACATGGGTTAAGCTCTCTACTACCACCAACTACATGGGTTAAGCTCTCTACTACCACCCACTACATGGGTTAAGCTCTCTACTACCACCAACTACATGGGTTAAGCTCTCTACTACCACCCACTACATGGGTTAAGCTCTCTACTACCACCCACTACATGGGTTAAGCTCTCTACTACCACCCACTACATGGGTTAAGCTCTCTACTACCACCCACTACATGGGTTAAGCTCTCTACTACCACCCACTACATGGGTTAAGCTCTCTACTACCACCCACTACATGGGTTAAGCTCTCTACTACCACCCACTACATGGGTGAAGCTCTCTACTACCACCCACTACATGGGTTAAGCTCTCTACTACCACCCACTACATGGGTTAAGCTCTCTACTACCACCAACTACATGGGTTAAGCTCTCTACTACCACCCACTACATGGGTTAAGCTCTCTACTACCACCCACTACATGGGTGAAGCTCTCTACTACCACCCACTACATGGGTGAAGCTCTCTACTACCACCCACTACATGGGTGAAGCTCTCTACTACCACCCACTACATGGGTGAAGCTCTCTACTACCACCAACTACATGGGTTAAGCTCTCTACTACCACCCACTACATGGGTGAAGCTCTCTACTACCACCCACTACATGGGTGAAGCTCTCTACTACCACCCACTACATGGGTGAAGCTCTCTACTACCACCCACTACATGGGTGAAGCTCTCTACTACCACCAACTACATGGGTTAAGCTCTCTACTACCACCAACTACATGGGTTAAGCTCTCTACTACCACCCACTACATGGGTGAAGCTCTCTACTACCACCCACTACATGGGTGAAGCTCTCTACTACCACCCACTACATGGGTGAAGCTCTCTACTACCACCCACTACATGGGTGAAGCTCTCTACTACCACCAACTACATGGGTTAAGCTCTCTACTACCACCAACTACATGGGTTAAGCTCTCTACTACCACCCACTACATGGGTGAAGCTCTCTACTACCACCCACTACATGGGTGAAGCTCTCTACTACCACCAACTACATGGGTTAAGCTCTCTACTACCACCAACTACATGGGTTAAGCTCTCTACTACCACCCACTACATGGGTTAAGCTCTCTACTACCACCCACTACATGGGTTAAGCTCTCTACTACCACCCACTACATGGGTTAAGCTCTCTACTACCACCCACTACATGGGTTAAGCTCTCTACTACCACCCACTACATGGGTTAAGCTCTCTACTACCACCCACTACATGGGTTAAGCTCTCTACTACCACCAACTACATGGGTTAAGCTCTCTACTACCACCCACTACATGGGTTAAGCTCTCTACTACCACCCACTACATGGGTTAAGCTCTCTACTACCACCAACTACATGGGTTAAGCTCTCTACTACCACCCACTACATGGGTTAAGCTCTCTACTACCACCAACTACATGGGTTAAGCTCTCTACTACCACCAACTACATGGGTTAAGCTCTCTACTACCACCCACTACATGGGTTAAGCTCTCTACTACCACCAACTACATGGGTTAAGCTCTCTACTACCACCCACTACATGGGTTAAGCTCTCTACTACCACCAACTACATGGGTTAAGCTCTCTACTACCACCCACTACATGGGTTAAGCTCTCTACTACCACCCACTACATGGGTTAAGCTCTCTACTACCACCCACTACATGGGTTAAGCTCCCTACTACCACCCACTACATGGGTTAAGCTCTCTACTACCACCCACTACATGGGTTAAGCTCTCTACTACCACCCACTACATGGGTTAAGCTCTCTACTACCACCAACTACATGGGTTAAGCTCTCTACTACCACCAACTACATGGGTTAAGCTCTCTACTACCACCAACTACATGGGTTAAGCTCTCTACTACCACCAACTACATGGGTTAAGCTCTCTACTACCACCAACTACATGGGTTAAGCTCTCTACTACCACCAACTACATGGGTTAAGCTCTCTACTACCACCAACTACATGGGTTAAGCTCTCTACTACCACCAACTACATGGGTTAAGCTCTCTACTACCACCCACTACATGGGTTAAGCTCTCTACTACCACCAACTACATGGGTTAAGCTCTCTACTACTACCAACTACATGGGTTAAGGTGTGCACTACAAGTGAGAGGTTCCCAGCAGCGTTAAGCGGGTGTTGGGGAGCATGGTGTAGAGGAGACGGTGTGTTAGGGAGCATGGTGTAGAGGAGACGGTGTGTTAGGGAGCATGGTGTAGAGGAGACGACATATAAATATATGGACTATTGTTTCAGACGAGCGATGAGCGGAGAGGAGGATGCAGGGTACCAGGTGGAGCTCTTCGTGTATGACCTGAGCCGCGGCCTGGCCAAGACTATGTCTCCAGCACTACTAGGTCAGTCTCTATCATTGTCTATAACTAACCCAACTCTTCATAACCAATATCTCTCCTCTTCCTAGTACAACTTACACATCCTGTCCTCCAACACCTGCTCGGAAGCCTCATCCTACACACGTATTTCAACACTTTATTAGGTGCATATTAGGAATGAAGTAAGTTTAATGGTAAGTACCTGTCATGTAAGGAACAGGTGCCAGAGCCTTCATCGGGTCGGTGAAGACAGCAGACAAGTTCCAGTAGCGAGACAATGCTGCAGGTGATGCCTTCTTGAGCACCACCAGCACGCCGCTCCTGATGGCTTGAGCGCCTTGAGTTACGGCTGCCAACTTCTCCCTATCCACCAAGTATTGGCCTTAAACATAACAAACTTCACTACCATCTTGTCTGTGTTGAAAGCCCTGAAAGTCATACCAATCCAGCTAGAGCGGAGTCAAGACCAGATAATCCTCACACAGTTCTTACCTTGGCTAAAATTGTGATGAATGATGAGGTCTGCGAGCCTCAAGGAGAAGGAGGCGGCGGTGCGCCACACGGCCCCAACCATGGCCGCCTTGCTAACGTCACCAGGTGCTGGTTCCTTATAATGGTAGACTCAAACTTCATTCCCTGTGTGACCGCTGCATCGCTCAACACTTAAGTTTTTGTCGGTCATTCTTATGCCTGTGTTCTCTCTCTCTCATATAGTGGGGGAACACGGTGTGAGGGGGGAGCACGGTGTGAGGGGGGAACACGGTGTGAGTGGGGAACACGGTGTGGGGGGGGGGGGGGGAACACGGTGTGAGGGGGGGAACACGGTGTGAGGGGGGGAACACGGTGAGGGGGGGGGGGGGGGGGGGAACACGGTGTGAGTGGGGGAACACGGTGTGAGTGGGGGAACACGGTGTGAGGGGGGGGAACACGGTGTGAGGGGGGGGGAACACGGTGTGAGGGGGGGAACACGGTGTGAGTGGGGGAACACGGTGTGAGGGGGGGAACACGGTGTGAGGGGGGGGGAACACGGTGTGAGGGGGGGGAACACGGTGTGAGGGGGGGGAACACGGTGTGAGGGGGGGGAACACGGTGTGAGGGGGGGGAACACGGTGTGAGGGGGGAACACGGTGTGAGGGGGGGGAACACGGTGTGAGGGGGGGAACACGGTGTGAGGGGGGGAACACGGTGTGAGGGGGGGGAACATGGTGTGAGGTGGGGGAACACGGTGTGAGGGGGGGAACACATGTAGTGAGGGGGGGGAAACACGGTGTGAGGGGGGGGAAACACGTAGTGAGGGCGGGGGAACACGGTAGTGAGGGGGGGGAACATGTAGTGAGGGGGGGAAACATGTAGTGAGGGGGGGGGAACACGTAGTGAGGGCGGGGGAACATGTAGTGAGGGGGGGGAACATGTAGTGAGGGCGGGGGAACATGTAGTGAGGGCGGGGGAACATGTAGTGAGGGGGGGGGAACACGGTAGTGAGGGGGGGGAACATGTAGTGAGGGGGGGGGAACATGTAGTGAGGGGGGGGAACATGTAGTGAGGGGGGGAACATGTAGTGAGGGCGGGGGAACATGTAGTGAGGGGGGGGAACATGTAGTGAGGGCGGGGGAACATGTAGTGAGGGGGGGGAACATGTAGTGAGGGGGGGGAACATGTAGTGAGGGCGGGGGAACATGTAGTGAGGGCGGGGGAACATGTAGTGAGGGGGGGAACATGTAGTGAGGGGGGGAACATGGTGTGAGGGCGGGGGAACATGTAGTGAGGGCGGGGGAACATGTAGTGAGGGCGGGGGAACATGTAGTGAGGGCGGGGGAACATGTAGTGAGGCGGGGGAACATGTAGTGAGGGCGGGGGAACATGTAGTGAGGGCGGGGGAACATGTAGTGAGGGGGGGGGGAACATGGTGTGAGGGCGGGGGAACATGTAGTGAGGGCGGGGGAACATGTAGTGAGGGGGGGGAACATGTAGTGAGGGGGGGGGAACATGTAGTGAGGGCGGGGGAATGTGTAGTGAGGGGGGGGAACATGTAGTGAGGGCGGGGGAACATGTAGTGAGGGCGGGGGAACATGTAGTGAGGGCGGGGGAACATGTAGTGAGGGCGGGGGAACATGTAGTGAGGGCGGGGGAACATGTAGTGAGGGGGGGGAACATGTAGTGAGGGGGGGGGAACATGTAGTGAGGGGGGGGGAACATGTAGTGAGGGCGGGGGAACATGTAGTGAGGGCGGGGGAACATGTAGTGAGGGCGGGGGAACATGTAGTGAGGGCGGGGGAACATGTAGTGAGGGCGGGGGAACATGTAGTGAGGGCGGGGGAACATGTAGTGAGGGCGGGGGAACATGTAGTGAGGGCGGGGGAACATGTAGTGAGGGCGGGGGAACATGTAGTGAGGGCGGGGGAACATGTAGTGAGGGCGGGGGAACATGTAGTGAGTGAGGGCGGGGGAACATGTGAGTGAGGGCGGGGGAACATGTAGTGAGGGCGGGGGAACATGTAGTGAGGGCGGGGGAACATGTAGTGAGGGCGGGGGAACATGTAGTGAGGGCGGGGGAACATGTAGTGAGGGCGGGGGAACATGTAGTGAGGGCGGGGGAACATGTAGTGAGGGCGGGGGAACATGTAGTGAGGGCGGGGGAACATGTAGTGAGGGCGGGGGAACATGTAGTGAGGGCGGGGGAACATGTAGTGAGGGCGGGGGAACATGTAGTGAGGGGGGGAACATGTAGTGAGGGCGGGGGAACATGTAGTGAGGGCGGGGGAACATGTAGTGAGGGCGGGGGAACATGTAGTGAGGCGGGGGAACATGTAGTGAGGGAACATGTAGTGAGGGCGGGGGGTAGGAACGGGGGAACATGTAGTGAGGGCGGGGGAACATGTAGTGAGGGCGGGGGAACATGTAGTGAGGGCGGGGGAACATGTAGTGAGGGCGGGGGAACATGTAGTGTAGTGAGGGCGGGGGAACACATGTAGTGAGGGCGGGGGAACATGTAGTGAGGGCGGGGGAACATGTAGTGAGGGCGGGGGAACATGTAGTGAGGGCGGGGAACGGGGGAACATGTAGTGAGGGCGGGGGAACATGTAGTGAGGGCGGGGGAACATGTAGTGAGGGCGGGGGAACATGTAGTGAGGGCGGGGGAACATGTAGTGAGGGCGGGGGAACATGTAGTGAGGGCGGGGGAACATGTAGTGAGGGCGGGGGAACATGTAGTGAGGGGGGGGGAACATGTAGTGAGGGCGGGGGAACATGTAGTGAGGGCGGGGGAACATGTAGTGAGGGCGGGGGAACATGTAGTGAGGGCGGGGGAACATGTAGTGAGGGCGGGGGAACATGTAGTGAGGGCGGGGGAACATGTAGTGAGGGCGGGGGAACATGTAGTGAGGGCGGGGGAACATGTAGTGAGGGCGGGGGAACATGTAGTGAGGGCGGGGGAACATGTAGTGAGGGCGGGGGAACATGTAGTGAGGGCGGGGGAACATGTAGTGAGGGCGGGGGAACATGTAGTGGGGCGGGGAACATGTAGTGAGGGCGGGGGAACATGTAGTGAGGGCGGGGGAACATGTAGTGAGGGGGGGGGAACATGTAGTGAGGGCGGGGGAACATGTAGTGAGGGCGGGGGAACATGTAGTGAGGGCGGGGGAACATGTAGTGAGGGCGGGGGAACATGTAGTGAGGGCGGGGGAACATGTAGTGAGGGGGGGGGAACATGTAGTGAGGGCGGGGGAACATGTAGTGAGGGCGGGGGAACATGTAGTGAGGGCGGGGGAACATGTAGTGAGGGCGGGGGAACATGTAGTGAGGGCGGGGGGGAACATGTAGTGAGGGCGGGGGAACATGTAGTGAGGGCGGGGGAACATGTAGTGAGGGCGGGGGAACATGTAGTGAGGGCGGGGGAACATGTAGTGAGGGCGGGGGAACATGTAGTGAGGGCGGGGGAACATGTAGTGAGGGCGGGGGAACATGTAGTGAGGGCGGGGGAACATGCAGTGAGGGCGGGGGAACATGTAGTGAGGGCGGGGGAACATGTAGTGAGGGGGGGAACATGTAGTGAGGGCGGGGGAACATGTAGTGAGGGCGGGGGAACATGTAGTGAGGGGGGGAACATGTAGTGAGGGCGGGGGAACATGTAGTGAGGGCGGGGAACATGTAGTGAGGGCGGGGGAACATGTAGTGAGGGGGGGGAACATGTAGTGAGGGCGGGGGAACATGTAGTGAGGGCGGGGGAACATGTAGTGAGGGCGGGGGAAACGGGGAACATGTAGTGAGGGCGGGGGAACATGTAGTGAGGGCGGGGGAACATGTAGTGAGGGCGGGGGAACATGCAGTGAGGGCGGGGGAACATGTAGTGAGGGCGGGGAATATGTAGTGAGGGCGGGGGAACATGTAGTGAGGGCGGGGGAACATGAAGTGAGGGCGGGGAACATGTAGTGAGGGCGGGGGAACATGTAGTGAGGGCGGGGGAACATGTAGTGAGGGGGGGGAACATGTAGTGAGGGCGGGGGAACATGTAGTGAGGGCGGGGAACATGTAGTGAGGGGGGGGGTAGTGAGGGCGGGGAACATGTAGTGAGGGCGGGGGAACATGTAGTGAGGGCATGTAGTGAGGGGGGGAACATGTAGTGAGGGCGGGGGAACATGTAGTGAGGGCGGGGGAACATGTAGTGAGGGGGGGGGAACATGTAGTGAGGGCGGGGGAACATGGTGAGGGCGGGGAACATGTAGTGAGGGCGGGGGTAGTGAGGGCGGGGAACATGTAGTGAGGGGGGGAACATGTAGTGAGGGCGGGGAACATGTAGTGAGGGCGGGGGAACATGTAGTGAGGGCGGGGGAACATGTAGTGAGGGGGGGGAACATGTGTAGTGAGGGCGGGGGGAACATGTAGTGAGGGCGGGGGAACATGTAGTGAGGGCGGGGGAACATGTAGTGAGGGCGGGGGAACATGTAGTGAGGGCGGGGAACATGTAGTGAGGGCGGGGGAACATGTAGTGAGGGCGGGGGAACATGTAGTGGGGCGGGGGGTGTAGT